GAGAGGCTGTGGCTCAGTGGAAGAGCCCCTCCGCTTTGCACACAGAAGACCCTCGGCTCAGTGTCTGGCATCTCCAGTTAAGGATCAGGGAGGAGATGATGTGAAAGGATCTCCAGGCTGTCCGAGACCTTGGGGAGCCACTGCCAGGCTGAGTAGACAATACTGACCTTGACGGCCTGATGGTCTGATTCAGTATAAGGCCACTTCGTGTGTGTTCATGTGTGAGACATTTTTTGGTCCCTTTTAGTTCAGTGCAGTTTAGGTGAAGTCATGTGTCACTAGCGAAACATTTCTCTCTACATGTTTTTAGTTCAGATCGTGTCAGATGCATGCTAGGAGGTGCCTAAAATCAGCACAGGTGCATTGCAAAGAGCAAATGCAGACACAAATACAGAGTTCGGTCGGCATTCAAGTGTTGCTGGCCCTTAACCACTTTCCTAACCACAAACCTCAGCTGCACTCTGACTGGGTCAAGAGAAAAAGGGGATGTGGCTGATAAGCAAAAATTGCCTTGATTGTGTTTTTCCTCTGAAGCCATTGGTCACGAGTTGCTGGTGCGCTTGTCGCTTTGGACCTCCCTGACAAATTGTCTTTTTTAAAAAAAGAAACTTCATCACCATAAGCACAAAAACATTTATATGCCTGTTTGAAACCGATAATTGAGGAACTGCAGCAGAATTTGAATATACAACTCAGATCCAAATTCAGGTAACAATATGGCAAGAAACACTGTAGAATGTTAAACTTTTCTAGGTCTTAAAGGTAAAGGTTCCCTTGCTCAAAAGCCAGTCGAGTCTGACTCTAGGGTTGCGGTGCTCATCTCCGTTTCGAAGCCGAAGAGCCAGCGCTGTCCAAAGACGTTTCCGTGGTCATGTGGCCGGCATGACTAAACACCAAGCCGCACGGAACGCTGTTACCTTCCCACCGAAGTGGTACCTATTTATCTACGTGCAATTTCTTGCTTTCGAACTGCTAGGTTGGTAGGAGCTGGAACTAGAGACGGGAGCTCACTCCGTCATGCGGCAACTCGGGTCTCGAACTGCTGAACTACTGACCTTCCACAGCCTGCAGTTCAGCGTCTTAACTACTTGAGCCACCACAGCTCTTAGACTGCAGTTAATACCAGAAATAATGCTGGGAAAAGTTGACTGCAACAGGACAAGAGGAAGACCCAACATGAGATGGATGGACTCAATCAAGGAAGCCACAACCCTTGGTTTGCAAGACCTGAGCAAAGCTGCTAACAATAGGACGTTTCGGAGGTCATTAACTCATAGGCAGAGACAGTAATGCTAGAAAAAGTTAAAGGCAGCAGGAAATAAGGAAGACCCAGGACTTTTCTTCTGGGGGAATGCGCAGGAATGGAGTTCCGGAACCCCTTTGACAAAATTCTTTTTCAGATGCTTAACAGTTCATGCGTTTTCAGTATACAGATTGAAAACTTCATTTCTCTCTGGAGAGTTCTGGCATCTCCCCCCTCCCCCCCAAAAAAAAAAAAAGCCCTGGGAAGACCCAACATGAGATAGATTGACTCGATCAAGGAAGCCATGGCCCCTCAGTGTGCAAGACCTGAACAAGGTTGTGAACAACAGGACGTTTTGGGGGTCACTAATTCCAGGAAAGGACTTGACAGCACTCAGCTTGTACCCAAGGCCAGAAAATGACAACCCTCTGAAATTATTGGACACCCAATAGATTTCCTTAAATTGCAGGACTTTTCTCTTAGGCCTGGGGTTACGGCTAGGCCAGGAGAGAGAGTTTCAAGTGCTGTTCTGAGAGAATTTTTAAGTGACCTATCCATACCTGAGCACTCTAATGACTGAATAGATTGATTTGCTAATACATACTTTTGCAGAAGTAAATAAATGGCATGGATAATCATCACAGTGACTGTCACGACAGCCTCGTTTGAGGTTATTAAGCGTTAAATACTTAGAACTAATCTGAGCAGATTTCATGCTTCTCTTTAACACAATGATGAAGAATTACATCTTGATTAAGGCAGTCCTGTGGTACTTACGATCAATGAGGGATGGGACCTGATTACCGAATAGTTCTGAAATGTAGTAGATCTGGCCTTTTCTTTGTGGTGGAGGTGGGTTCTGGAATGAGTGAAAGGAAAGGGGTATTAAGTAGTTGGCTGCCTCCTGCCACTGACCTGCGGGGCTCCTGTTCTGTTTCGTGCTCTTCCATCGGTAATATACTGCTATATGAGTAACAAGATTATGGATTATTTTTAACACATTTTGATCTATGCTTATTCGAGATGGATCCGTAGTCACCAGCAAAAGGTTACTCAGTTGAAGTACAGTCATCAAACACTGTACTTCAGAATTGATAATATGCCAGTTCGATGTAGTGGTTTGGTGTAGTGGTTAAGTGCGCGGACTCTAATCTGGGAGAACCGGGTTTGATTCCCCACTCCTCCACTCGCACCTGGCTGGATGACCTTGGGTAAGCCATGGTTCTGTCAGAGCTGGTCTTGAAAAAGAGCAGTTTCTGTCAGAGCTCTCTCAGCCCCACCTACCTCCCAGGGTGTCTGTTGTGGGGAGGGGAAGGGAAGGGAAAGGAGTTTGTAAACTGCTCTGAGACTCCTTTGGGTAGTGAAGGGTGGGGGTATAAATCCAGTCTCTTCTTCTTCTTCATGTCCAACCCCCAAATTCCCAAATGTCATCATTTATTATTTATTGACTTTATGTATAATCTGCCTTTCTCTCAAAGCTCTCAGAGCCAGTTTGGTATAGTGGTTAAGTGTGTGGACTCTAAACTGGGAGAACCGGGTTTGATTCCCCACTCCTCCACTTGCAGCTGCTGGATGACCTTGGGCAAGCCATAGTTCTCTCAGAGCTGTTATCTCAAGGACAGTTCTGGAAAGAACTCTCTTAGCCCCACTTACCTCACAGGGTATCTGTTGTGGGGAGAGGAAGGGAAAGGAGTTTGTAAACTGCTCTGAGACTCCTTTGGGTAGTGAAGGGT